GGCTTACAAAAATCCAAGGAATGTTTATACAAGAGAGAAGCCCGGCGGTCAGCAAGCAGTGAGCTCTATAGTACTATAATTGGCCTTACTCCCGTCCCCCAGCTCTGAGGAAACCTTGAAAACCATCAGCCTTATAGCCATCTTTGGAACACCAGTAGCCACCGGCTGGGGCAGAGCAGAGCTACAAGCTCCCAGCAAAACAGTGCTGAGTGGAAAAGAGCTCCCTTCATATGGACGGTCACATCCCCAAAGCATTTGCTAAAAATAATCAGAGACAGCTAGTTAGCGCCACGGCTTCAGGCAACAGCAACCACAACTGGAGCAATCAAGACTAAAGATTTGGGGAATGAGATATTCAGAGAGCTTAGAAAAGCCCCCCCAAATGCATGCGAATGTCTCTCCGCTGCTTGACCTGCTGTTCTGTGCAAATAGGAGATGTGGACTAAGGCACAGTGGTCAAAAGGAGTGTCAACACACACGCACACACACACGCACACACACACACACAAGCACTTCTAGGATGCTGGAGTATGGCCTTCCAAAGTCTGCTTTGCATGGAAGTAGACAAACTGGTTACCACCAGCTTTCTCAGCACCCTGAAAATTCACCAAAGGCTTACAAATATCCAGGGACTGCTTACAGAAGAAGGAAGGCTGGCGCTCAGCAAGCAGTGAGCTCTGTAACAGATACGGCACTGGGTCGCTCCCTTTCCCTTCGAAACCTGTTCCTTTTCTGGTATTTCCTAACAGGATGAACAGAAACACCATTAGGGCAGCTACCAAAGCCCGAAGTGGAGAAGTCTTAGGGCTTGAGATGTAAATCAGATCAGTGGCAGCGTGCTTGCTTAGCATACACAAGACCCTGAAATGCCAAGTCCCCCAAACTCTCCATCCTCAAATCTACCCCTCAGCTTCGCTGGCCTCACCCCCTGCATCCAACACTGTGGTGACCTCCATGAAGACAGTCTTGTCTCTGTCTAACCCATCTTCCACAGCACTACCAGTATCAGAAAACTCTTTTCAGAACAGATCCTCCAAGCTAGAGAGAAGGCTCAGCGGTTGCTGATCTTGCAGAGGACCCAAGCTTGATTACCAGCCGTGAGGAAGCTCATAAGCACCTGTAACTCCAGCTTCAGGGGATCTGACGTCCTCTTCTGGCCTTAACGGCATTACACTCATGTGCACATACCTATGCAGCAGGAGGCCGCTTGTTGGATCCTGGCCACTTAGCCCCAAAATAATCACAGAGGAACTGTATTATTAAATCACTGCTTGGCCCACTAGCTCTAGGTTCTTATTAGCTAACTCTTACATATTAATTTAACCCATCTCCATTAATCTGAGTATTGCCTCATGACAGTGGCTTACTGTTAAGTTTCTGCATGTCTGACTCTGGCAGTGGCTCCATGGCATCTCTCTGATTCCACCTTTCTTTCTCCCAGCTTTCAGCCTAGCTTTCCCTGCCTACCTAAGTTCTGCCTTGCTATAGGTCCAAAGCAGTTTCTTTATTCATTAATGGTAATCACAGCACAGAGAGGGAACTCCCACATCAAACCTATACACTCACACACAGAGATACACATACTATTAAAAATACAATAAATCTTTTTTTAAATCTGTTCTCAATGGCCATTCATGTAACCTGCTAGAGTAGAGGATGTAGAAGTAGAAGCCCATCTTGATTTCAAAGCCCTACCCTTAGGGCTGAGAAAGAGGAAGAAGATATATAAACACAGTAGACATTAAGCATTAAGATAACCCAGTGTGGTGGCTCATATCTGTAATCTCAGCACTCAGGACCCTGAGGCAGGAAGACTGTAGCAAACTCTGGACCAGCCTGAGTTGAGAATGAGATCCTATCTCAAAAAGAGAGGGGGGGGGAGGCATGATGGCTAGGGAAATGGTTCAGTAGGGTAAAGTGCTTGCACACAACCATGAGGACCTTAGCTTGGATCCCCAGAACCCATACAAAGCCAGACACAGTAGTGTGTGCCTATAACCTCAATGTTCCCACAGCAAGGTGGAAGGTGGAGACAAAGGATCTCTGGAAGCTTGCCAGCCAGCTAGCCTGACATATATGATGGTGCCTTAGACAAAACAAGGTAGAAGGTGAGGACTGAACACGTGTGCATCCATACTCACACAAATATCCAAAAAGGAAGGCAAATTGAAAGGTTTTCTATAAGCAGGGGTGGTGGTGGCACACACTTTCAATCTCTGCACTTGGGAGGTAGAGACAGGAGGATCTCTGAGTTTGAGGTCTGCCTGGTCTAAAGAGCGAGTTCCAGGGCAGCCATGGCTACACAGAAAACCCTGTGTCAAAAAAACAAAAAGGAGGAGGAGGAAAGCTTTTCTATAAACTAGATACACAAAGAGATATGACCCAGCCCCTTTCTTTCCCCTTGATTACACTTGGAATCCCCAATCCATCCTGCTGTCTCCCAGGAAAAGGGTCAAGACTCCTTTTGGAGGCTGAAGAAATGTTTCCACTGTTTAGAGTGCTTGCTGGGGGCTGGAGAGATGGCTTAGAGGTTAAGAGCACTGACTGCTCTTTCAGAGGACCTGGGTTCAATTCCCAGTAACCATGTGGCAGCTCACAACTGTCTGTAACTCCAATCTAGGGGATCTGACTCCCTTGAATAGACAATACCTGCAGGTAAAACACCAGTGCACACAAAATAATAAATAAATTATAAAAAATATTTTTTAAAGGGTGCTTGCTGTATAGCCATAAAGACCAGAGATGCCCTCTTCTGGCCTCTATGTATGTACTGGCACAAGCAACCCCAACACATACACATGTGCAAACACTCAGACACACAGTGTATATATACATAAATGCATCTTTAAAGATTTATTTTTAATTTTGTGAATGTTGTGTGCATGCGTGTGCGTACTTGCATGTGGGTGCAGATGCCCCAGAATACAGGAGAGGGCACCATATCCTGTGAGCCATTGTGAACTGCCCAATATGGGTTCTGGGAACTGAACTTAGGTCCGTTTCAACTAGTACAAACTCTTCACTCCCAAGCCATCATTAGCTACGGCTCCCTGGTTCTAAGATTTCTAAGGAGAAATGGATGTGTGTGTGTGTGTGTGTGTGTGTGTGTGTGTGTGTGTGTGTGTGTGTGTGTATGCGTGCGGGTGCTTGCATATGCTTAGAGACCACGGGTAGAGAGAAGAGGGAGAGACATCCAGCAAAGATGAAAACTGAGACCTGATGTTCACCAGAAATGGAGACTGAATAAACATCTTTGAAAACCATGAATAGTTGGGCAGTGGGGCTCACGCCTTTAATTCCAGCACTCGGGAGGCAGAGGCAGGCGGATCTCCGTGAGTTCAAGGCCAGCCTGGTCTACAAGAGCTAGTTCCAGGACAGGCACCAAAGCTACAGAGAAAACTGTCTCAAAAAAACAAAAACAAAAAAGAAAGGAGGAAAAGAAAACCACAAATACTCTGGGCAAGGTGGCACACACCTTTAATTCCAGCACTCAGAAGGCAGAGACAGGTGGATTCTCTTTAGGGATGAGGACCCCTTCCTGAGATAAAAGGATAGATCAGAATCAAATAAGCACAAACAACAGGCAAAAATGGCAAGCCCTTAAGAGTCCTAATACCCACCAATTTCTTCTATTCTCTGAGAGAGAGAGGTGTCAAAGGATCTGAAAGTACTCTAAGCAAAGCTGGGCCTACCTTCCTTGTGCTAGGCCTACCGTGTGAGTCACCATCCATGAGCACTTTACACATAATGGGTACAACTTACCTAAGGACAAATTATGATACTTATTTTTAGATGTATTTTACATCGCTTATTTATTAGGGTATGGGAGGCTCCAGTGGAGGTCAGAGGACATCGTGCAGAAGCCAGGTCTCTCCTGCCACATTTTGGGCTCTGAGGCTCTAACTTGGGTGGTCAGGTTTGGAGGCAAGAGCCTTTAATCCCTGAGCCATCTGCTTGTCCCCAGCAGTGTTTAAAGCATAGATCTTAGTTGCCCACTGTGGTTCATGCCTGTCCTCCCAACAAGTGCGAGGCAGAAGCTAGGTTGTTTTGAGTTCAAGGCTACAGTCTGTTCTGGGCAACCTAGAACCAGATTGAGGTCTTAACTCAAGCGGGGAGAGGGCTAACTAGAGCCATTGTTCAGTTCCCAATACCCACATGGTGCCTCACAAGCATCCATAACTCCAACTCCCGGGCACTCAACGCCCTCTTCTGGCCTCTTGAGGCACCAGGCACACACGCAGTGCACATACATACATGCAGACAAAACATGCATACATCTTTAAAAAGAAAGGGGGAAAGGAACTGGCGCTAGAATCGTGGGAAGTGTCTGAAGGGTCGAGCGTGGAGCAGAAGAAAAGGCAAAATCTGGAGGATGACTAAAGTCAGAAGACTTGAGCAGCGGAGAGAAATGAAGGGTCTCCAGGTATGATTCCCCAGGAAGCGGGACCAGCAACTGCTATGGAAAGGGGGAGTCAACGATGGCTCGTGCTTGCCATCCCAGGCCTTAGAAGATGGAGGCAGAAAGACTGCCATCAGCCATCTACATGATGAGCCAGAGGCCAGCCTGGGCTAAACGGTGATTCCGAGGTCAGCCTGAGCTACACAGTTAAGTTTGAAGCCAACCTAAGCTACACGCAATGAGGTCGAAGACAATGTGGGCTGCATCATCATGAATTGAGTTCGAAGTCACCAAGGGGTAATGACTGAGTTCAACGCCAGCCTGGGCTACAAAGTGCGATGTCTCATAAAAGAGGGAGGGGGGGTTGTCTCAAAAAACCGGGATGACGGTCTCTGTCGGGCTAGGGATGCGGAGGGAGTGTGCGCAGGTGAGGCGGGATGCCTGCTGGACGGATGCGGGGGGCGGCAGCAACGCCAGGGACTGCTGGGCAAAGGCAGCGGGACGCGACGGGCGGCCAGCCGGGGCGATGGGGGAAGGGGCAGGCGGGATGAAGGATGGAGGCGTCCGGGGCTCGGCGCCCGGAGCGCGGCGCCGCGCTTACCTACGATGGCGGAGGCGAAGCCGTGACGCCGCTCCGGCATCTTGGGCTTCGGCCGTTTCTCCCGCCGCCCTAGCTGGTGGCCATGGTGCCCTCCCCGGGAGCGCTTCTTCACCGCCAGGCGACGGCCCTGCCCGGCCCCGCCGAGAAGCGCACCCGCGGCCGCCTCAGCAGCGACTGACCGCTGTCGCCGCCTCCAGCGCCTGCCTCCCGCCGCCGCGTGGCCGCAGGATCTCACGCCCGCCACCATTGGCTACCCGGACTCCGGCAGCGCGATGTGTCTGCCGCTCTGATTTGTTGGTTCCGCGGGGAGGCGGGGTTTGGGAGAGAGCCGGTGGGGCTGGCGCTGAGGGGTGGGTGGGGTCTGACATCCGGGCCCAACGTTAGGCGAGCTAGGCTGAGCGGAGGTGGGGGGGTAGCCCGCTGCTACCTGCAGGGGTCCTGCGTTGCTAGAGCAACGGAGCTGGTGGCCTAACTGGAGGGGAGCCAGGCCAGGGCCAGGAGCTCTCATTGGATGTCTAAGACCAACATCCCTGAAACCCAGGCAGTGACACACAAAAAGAGCCTTCCTAGCAAGGATTCCTCCCTGCCGGGCGGGCCATCGCTTGACACAGCAGTTAAGCACACAAATCAGTTTGCACAATATTCCATACCACAGGAAAGTATAAATGAGGGCTGAGGATGGAGCTCAGTGGGTAGAGTGCTTGCCCAGAGTGAAGCCATGGGTTCCATCCCCAGCACTGCATAACCTGGAAATGGTGATGCACGCCTCTGATCCCAATACTGAGGTGGTGGAGGCAAGAGGATCCTCAGCTGCACAGGGAGTTTGAGGCCATCCTGGACAGCATGAGATCCTGTCTGGAGACAGATAAAGCGTATAAATGCAAGGAGCTGTGATGACCCGTATCTGTAATATCTCCAGAGGCTGAGGCAGGATTGCCAGGATTTTGAAGCCAGTCTGGGATACAAAGCGATTTCCAGCCCCAAAGCGTATATTACAGAATGAGATCTTATCCCAGCCTCCCTTTGCTCCCCACCCAGAAGCTATGCAAAGTGGTGCACACCTATTACCCCAAGACTTAAGAGGCCAAGGCAGGGTGCTATTCCAGACCAGCGGGGGCTGCATAGCAAGATCTGTCTCAGAGTTTAATTTTTTTCAAACAGGAAGGCTGGAGATGGAGCTCAGATGCTCAAATGCTTGCTCTGTGTGTAGAAAGCCCTGAGCTGCCTCTCGAGCTCGATATAAGCTAGAAATGGTGACGCACGCCTGTCACCACAGCACTAGGGAGGCAGAGACAGGAAGGCAAGGAGTACAGGGTCAGCCTTGTCTACGTACTGCATCAGAGACCAGTCTGAGCTATAAATAAATACGGAAATAAATAAAAGGTGATACGCAAATCATTACACAAAAGAAGGACGCTGTGGGAAGGGAAGAGAAGTGAGAAGGAGAGAAGGCTGGATTTCAGAACTGAAAACCAGCCATTTCCGCTTACAACCCCCATGCACACTGAGGCCAGGTTTTACCAAAGCCGCAATTTCAAATCTACTGATGTGGACGGGAGATAGCGTGGGCTCAAGGACCGAGATGCCAAATCCAAAATTCCTGTCATCATCCTCGAGCAAATGTCACTTAGAGAAAGATGTCCAATCTTAGAAAAATTTACTGAGAAGACTAAAGGAGGGAGCCATGAATGTTCGTGGGCACATCAGTTATTATATCCCTCCCCCTGCACACAAAAGACTAAAATTCAAGATGGATGTGGTGCTGGGAGGCTAAGGCAGAAGAATCAGGAGTTCGGGACTATATAGAGTTCCAAGCTACATAGAGAGACCCTGCTTCAAAAAAAAAAAAAAAAGAAAGAAAGAAAAGGGGAGCCCACAATGTGGGCCTCTGTGGCTCATGGCAATACTCATATACTCCCTACACTTGGGAGGTGGAGAAAGGGGAGTAAATATTTAAGGCTAGCCTTAGTTAGCTACATAAGCCAGTTTGAGGCACCCTAAGGCTACATGAGACCCTGACTCAAAAACAAGTTGGGTCAAAGATCCAGATTGCTATGTCTTGCTAAGGATCAGCGTTTGGTTTCCAGCACCTATGTCAAACGACTCACAACCACCCGTAATTCCAGCTCCAGAGGATCCGGCACTCTCTTTGGCCTCCATAGACAACCACATGTGTGTTCACATACACAGAGAGAAACATACATATACACACAGACAAATGATATAAATGTATTTAAAAGCTAAAACCAACCACGATGTTCTTCAACTGATTCATAGCAATCAAAACATAAACAAGATAATGGTCAATCATAAAAAAAGAATTAAGAATTGATACACAGGGTCAACCAGACGGCTCAGTGGGCAAAAGTGCTTACTGTGCAGGCCTGACAGCGTGAACTCCGTCCCCAGGCCCCATGGGGAGGGAGAAAGAACCAGCTTTCACAAGTTATCCTCGACCTACACTGACACACAATGGCACAAGCGTGCCTACACACATACACAATAATAACAACAGCAACAATAATAATTAAATTTTTTTTAAATAACTGAAGAGTCAGTGAGTAAAGGTGCTGGCCGTATAAGCTGGGCAATCTTAGTTTGATCCCCAGAACCCTGATGACAGCAGAGGACCAACTTCACAAAGTAGACCTCTGACCTCTAAACGCATGCACACACACACACACACACACACACACACACCACTTATGCCCCATGATGTGGGAGTTATTTCTTTCTAATCTGTTGCTTTCATTGGTTAATTAATAAAGAAACTGCCTAGGCCCATTTGATAGGCCAACCCTTAGGTGGGTGGAGTAGGCAGAACAGAATGCTGGGAAAAAGAAGCTGAGTCAGAGAGTCGCCATGATTCCCCCACTCCAGACAGACGCAGGTTAAGATCTTCCCTGGTAAGCCACCTCATGGGCTACACAGATTATTAGAAATGGGTTAGATCAATATGTAAGAGCTAGCCAATAAGAGGCTGGAACTAATGAGCCAGGCAGTGTTTAAAAGAATACAGTTTCCGTGTAATTATTTCGGGGCATAAGCTAGCCAGGCGGCCGTGAGCCGGGGCAGCAGGAACACAGCCCACAGTTCCTTACAACAGCCCCATACACAATAATAAATAAAAATTTAAATTTAGCTATTGGGAGGTCTGTGCAGGTGTGTGTGTGAGCACGTGCATGCCCCAGTGAACGTATGGAGTCCTGGGAAACTCCTTTCACCACGTGGGTCCTGGGGATTGAACTCAGCTTGCTGGTCTTCATTGGCCTGAGCCATCTTGCCCACCCAACACTGACATCTTCTTATTCCTGTTCCTGAGCTGAGTCTTTCTCTACAGGCAGCCCTGAGGAGGTCGAGTCAAAATCGTAGGGATTTAGGACAATCTTGGCTATACAGCAAGTTTGAAGTCAGCCTACTTCTGCCTCCTGGGTGCTGGGATTAAAGACATTTGCCACCATATCTGGCTTTTTTAAAAATAACAAGCCTTACCTAGAAAACTCACTGTTAAAGCATGTAGAAGCTAGCCCTATGACACACTGCTCTTTGAACCTGGCATCCCTGCTTGCTGGGGGTAAGTGCTCTATCACTGAGGTATAGTCCCGGGACCCCTCATCCCTCCTTGTAAAATTTGAGATAAGTATCACTAATTTGCCCAAAATGGCCTTTAAATTTGTTAAAATTTTACATTTTACTTTGTGTGTGTGTGTATGTGTGTGTGCAAGCGAGCTTTTTTGTGCATGCAGTGTGTGTGTGTGTGTATACACAAGTGCAATGCTATACTTATTGGGTCAAGTGGCAACTTGTGGAAGCTGGTTCTCTCTCCTTCCACCCCGTGGTTCCTAGGGAATGAACTCAGGTTGTCCAGCCTGGCAGTCAGCATCTTTACCCATGAACCCTTTTGTTGTTGCTGGGCGGGAAAGATGCCTCAGGGATTAAGAGCACACATTGCTCTTGCAGAAGACTCCAAGTTCAATTCCCAGCATCCACATCAGGCAGCTCACAACTACCTGTAATGCCTGATCCAAGGAATCTGATGCCTCTGGCTTCTGTGGGCACCGCATTCATACATACATACAAACCTTCATACTCAAAACATACACACATACAATTAAAATTTTTTTAATTATCTTAGATTTTTATTGCATTTATTTATTTATGTGGCAAAGGGATACACACATACCATGGCTCACACACAAAGGTCGGAAGACAACTTTCAAAAGTTGATTCTCTCCTTCTATCTATCATGCCAGTCCCAGGGATCGAACTCAGGAAGCCAAACTTGGCAACAAACACCCTCACTTACTCAGCAATCTCAGCAGCCTGCAGGCTAGCCATTTTGGTTGTTTGATTTCTGTTTCGAGACAGGGTCTCAGGCTAGGGACATAGCTCAGTGGTAAAGAACTTGCCTAGTGAGTACAAGCCCCTGAGTTCCATCCCCAGTACAAAAACAAAACACAAAATGCAAAATAAGCAACAACAAATAAGACACAAGGTCCCACATAGCCCAGGCTGGCCAGGAACTTGATAGATGACCAAAGATGTCCCAACTCTTACTCCTCCTACGTCACCCTCCTCAGTTCTGGGTTTAAGTGTGGTACCACTATGCGTTGCTAGCCCAGTTTGGCCTTTGAATTTGTGAGCCTTCTTCCTCAGCTTCCGAAGTAGCTGAATCAACTAAGACTCATCCTGACTATAAATATTCTTAGACTGGAAAACTGGCTCAGAGGTTAAGAGTGTATACTACACTAACTTAAAGAATAAAAATAAAAAATAAAATAAAATAAAAGCTAACGCCCTGAATATGTTTGTCATCCTGCCTGTGCATCTATTTTCCTGCTCCAGCCTTATCTCTTCCAGGGGACCAGAGCAGCCTCCTAAACTCTCCACAGAGACCACAGACTACAGGCACCCCTGAACAACAAGGAACTCAGAAGGCATCGCTCCTGTCTGTTTCGGGGAATAGCCCCAGCAGTACCCACAGTCTCAGAAGTGAGAAGAGATGCTCGCTGGTACCCGAGCAAGGAGCCAGAAGCGTGTCCCATTCAGGCAAGTAGCTGTGCATCTTCTTCGTCGGAGAGAAGGTCTAGCTGAGGTTAAGGACATCACATCTTGCTACAACAATGTTTGAGGACAGATGAAAAGGCACCATAGACCTCAAGCACTCACGGTTGGTTAACAGCATTGCTTTTGAAAGAGACAAAAATGCAGAAGCCTGGTGGCACAGTTCTGTAATCCCAGCTACTACAGAGGCTAAGGCATGAGGAGTGAAAATTCAAAGCCAGCCTGGGGTTCTAATGTGAGTTCAAAGCTAGCCTGGGGAACTTGATGAGCCCTTACCTCAAAAAATAAAAGCCACAAAGAGAACTTCACTTGCACTCCGTAAGGGACTGAGCTCCGTAAGAGCTCAGTGGGAGAGCTCTTCCTAGAATCCCCCAGTGAGGGGCTGGGGTGTGGCTCAGTGGTAGAGCCCCTGCCTAGAATCCCCCAGTGAGGGGCTGGGGTGTGGCTCAGTGGTAGAGCCCCTGCCTAGAATCCCCCAGTGAGGAACTTCAACAGTACAGGCCTTGTCCAGCTCACTCAATGCCTGGGTTCCATCCCCAGTACTGAAAACAAAACAAACCTAAAAACTGACAGGGCTCCTATTATATCATTGTTCCAGGATCTGGCTTGGTATAGTGGGGCAGAGGGGGAGGTGGGGAGCTCACAAGTGAAAAACTGAGCCCCCAAGAAGCTAGGAATGGGAAGGCTGCAGCAAAGGGCTTACACGTGGAAATGGTCCTCGGGGAGAGGGAAGGAACCTCAGAGGTACACACAGACATGGCCATGAGGGGGACTGTGGCTACAAAGAGGGCTGCGAAGGGCACGGAAATGATATGACAAAGATGGTTTTCTGTCCAACCTTCCACTCTGACCTGCCACTGCTTGGATGGGGGTGGGTGGATGCGTGGGTGAGCAAGGAATGAATGAATGACAGCTCTGTGGCCATTTGTGGGGACCAGAGGCACGGGGAAGAAACGGGAGAGCAGTGGGGTCCTGCCAGGGGAACGAAGGGAGACTCTAGGTGAGGGCATCAGAGCCAAGACCTGTGATGTATGAACTGAGGGTTAAACTTGCATTCCATAAAGGGATCCAAGAGCCTTGGATAATTTGGGACAAGAAAGCGCTTGCTTACCTGCAGATAGCATCAAAGAGGCAGACGGCAGCAGGAGACCCCTCACCGTCCATAGGCTGAGTGGAGGCAAAAAGAAAAGAGTGATACGGTTTCAAGGAAAAAGAGAAAAATGAGCGCGCCTCCTCGCTTTTTCCCACCTCTAGATCCCAGAGCCCTGGCCAGGTCAGGCCCTTAGGCCACATCAGCAACTTAAAAGCCAGCCCAACCTATGAGCAGGCATTTTCCAAACGGCTGCAGAACGCTGCACCTTCCAAAAATACCACTTCGAGTAACTCATGCCAGGGAACCAGGGCCACATGCCCAGGCTAGAACCAGCCAATGGGACGCCCTATGCCCCAGGAGACGCCATCACATGCTCTACAGACCCCACAGACAGGAAATGCTTACTTACTGCCTGGACGGGAAGGCAGACCAGGATGAACCTACAACAAAGCCTCAGGCTGAAAACTTCAAGCATCCTCTAGATTTACTAGGAGTTTTTTTGTTTGGTTGTTTGGTTAGTTGGCTGTTTTGTTTTGTTTCGTTTTCATCATATAGCCCTGTAACTTGTGGCAAACTTCCTGCCTCCGTATCCTGATTGCTAGGATTATAGGGATGAGCTAAGACACCTGGCTTTGCTCATTTACTTTTGCTTTTGTTTAATTTGTTTTCTTTTGTTTTCAGAAAACTTACTATATTACCAAAGATAGTTTTGAGCTCTTGATTCTCCTGCATTAGCCTTCAGAGACGTAGACAACAGGTCAGCCCCACTGCGATGGCAGTGAGATTGTCCCTCGACTAGGAGGCAGTTACTCAGTTCACGTACTTTGTGAGTGTTCAAAATTTTATATACCTTTACACATCCTTAAAAAAAATAAAGACTGGGTGCAATGGGCTTACATTCACAGTGAGAGACAGGCAGATCAGGAATGCAAGGCTAGCTAGCCTGGGCTACATGGTGTGCCCTTGCTTCAAAAAGCAAAAATGAAAAAGAACAACCAAACCCTTTATTTAGAAAGCACAGTAAGCAATAAAATAAATGGTGAGAAGTAACCAATGTGAAATTAACTCTGCGATGCTTACTCTTTAGCGGGGAACGAGCTGTGGGAGCAGTAGGTGTGAATAATCATCATATTTGCTGAATATGGAAGAGAGAAGGCTGACAGGCAGACAGATAGGCACTGTATGATAGATGTGGTGTGGGAGGATCTTCTGTCTGTGTGGTGATTATATTGGTTAATGAATAAAGAAAACTGGCTTGACCTGCAGCATGGGAGGAGGAAGACAGAGTTAGGAGAAGCCATGGATCCGCAGCCTGAGACAGACGCTGGGAACTTTAGCTGGTAAGCCACAGCCACGTGGTGATACACAGAAGAATAGAGATGCATTAGTTTAGGATATGAGTTTAGGCAGAAATATGCTTAAGCTATTGGCCAAACAGTATTGAAAATAATATGGTTTTCTGAGTGGTTATTTCGTGGCTGGGCGGCCAAGACGAACAAGTGACCCTTCCGCCAGCATAGATGGATGACTGATGATAGAGGGACAGATACATTGATGGCAGCTTCCAGATGATAGATAAATGGATAGAAGATAGATGGACAGACAGACCTCACCATCATTACCACTACTGATGCATTTGAAGGTAAACTTCAGACAGTCTTTGTTCTTTTCCCCAGAGACATCATCAGTATCACCTAACAATAAAAGCACTCTTTTAAAAACATTTTATCTATATGTTTATTTTTTTTAATTTTCAAATGTGTGTCTGTGTATGCCATGCCAGTGTAGTGCCCACGGAGGCCAGAAAACATAGTTGAATCTATGGAGCTGGGGTTACAGATGGTTGTAGCTGCCCATTGTGGGTGCCGGGAACTGAACTCGGGTCCTCTGGAGAAGCAGTATTTGCTCTTAACAGCCGAGTCATCTCTCCAGTCACAGCGCATTCTCTTATATAATGACAAAATGAAAGAAATTTAAAATGGGCATGTTGGTGCTTGCTTGCAAACCCAGCAGGAAAGAGGCTGAAGCTGAAGGGTCCTGGACTAGCCTGGGCTACATAGTAAAACCATACCTGAAAAAGACAAGAAATCTAGCATTAATTTGATTCTATTATCTAACAAACAACACTCTCACTTAGTATTTCTCCTGAATTATTATCTTGTCTCTCTTACTCTGGACCATGTCCTCTCTCTTCCGGTGAGAAGGCATGGTCGTTGTTTGTCCCAGCTGAGGGACTCCGCCTTTACGCATCTCCTTCGGCAAAGGCAGAATCTGCTGAGCGTCTCCAGTATCATGTCCCCATGGGCCTTTGTGACAAACAAGTTAAGAGCTACTTCGAGTCCACGGAAATATTCTCGTCTGACTGCTGAGGATTCCCTGCCCGGCCCTACTACGCTTGGCGGCCATTCAAGGAAAGCAGAGCTGGCCAGTGTTCAGGATGTGAGGTGACGAAGATCCGGTGCCAGGCTGGGCAGGGAAGGGAGAGTAACTAGAGTAGAAACCTATGCCTAGAACCACGGACAGATTGCATGCTGAGCAGGGTCTCACTGGAGCAGGCATCAGTGAGGCTTACCTTTCTGCCTTCATGGCTAGGACGGGGGCCAGTTTGTAGGAAAGGAAGGGGCCAGAGACCAGCAAGTCCCTCTTCGCCCTCTACTGGTCCCTGATGGTCCCTCGGGGTAAATATGTCAGAGACAGAAGCGCAGTATCATTTCCCGACTCCAAAGGAGGGTGGCAGGCTTCTGGGACTGGTGCGGCCTCCTCCACGGTAACTCCACATGCCCCTGCCAGTTTGCTCAGCTCCTGCAAATACTTGTTGTGCTGTTTCTGCAGGCCTTGGTTGATGGTCAGTGTGGAATGGGGGAGGGAAATGGGCGTGAAGCCCACAGGATACAAACAAACCTGGACGAGTTGGCCATGTGTCAAGTCACTGTTAGGCTTGACAGAAGGTCTATTAATTTCCTAGGGTGCCATTTGACAAGCGCAACTTAAAGGTAATATTTCTTCTCTCCTTCCTTCTTTCATTCCTTCCTTCCTTCCTTCCTTCCTTCCTTCCTTTCCTTTCCTTTCTTTTTCTTTTTCTTTTTGAAAGAGAGAGAGACAAGGTCTCACTCTGTAGCCCTGTTTGACCTGGAACTCACGTTGATCTGGCACTAAAGGTGTGTGCACTACACCCAGCTAAAAATTTATTTATTTATGTGTGTGTGTGCGTGCATGTGTGTGTACAGTCTACCCTCATGTCAGAGGTGTCAGATCACCATGAAGTTAAATATACAGGTTGTGAGCCACCTAACATGGGTGCTGAAAACCAAACTGACAGGTCCTCTGGAACAGCAGCAGGAACTCTGAACCACTGAACTATCTCTTCAGACCATGCGTGACTTTTTTTTTCATGCATGGCTTTTTAACACAGGGGTTCTGGGGATCAAACTCAGGTCCCTCTTGGCTGCACTACTCTCCAGTCCCTCAGAGGTGTGCCTCTGAAGACAGGACTCAGCTTCAGCTCCTGCCCTTCTCTCTCTGCATCCTGGTGCTGTGGGACAATGGTTTTACCCTGTGAAGATTTGTTTCTTGTACTTGTTTAATAAAATGCTGATTGGTCAGTAGCCATGCAGGAAATATAGGCGGGGCAACCAGGCAGGAAATAGAGGCGGGACAATGAGAACGGGAGAATTCTGGGAAGAAGAAGAAAGATTCAGTCTGCAGTCATGACCCAGCTGCAGAGAGAGCAAGATAAGACTTCCTTGCTGATAGAAGGTATTAAGCCATGTACCTAACACAGACAAGAATTATGGGCTAATGTAAGTTATAAGAGTTAATAATTAGCCTGAGCTAATAGGCCAACCAGTTTATGATTAATGTAGACCTCTGTCTGAATGGGACTGAATGGGTGTGGGATCGGGCGAGACAGAAACTTCTGCCAACATCCTGGTCTGCTGGAAGTTCCTTCACATGCCTCCACTACCACGACATCTTCCTTAAACACATGAGGACAGATAGATATGGAATGAAGCACCCTAGAATTGCAGGCCCCAAATTTGCACTTCCCTTTGATACATGGTTTCTTTTAGGTATTGTGGTCTATGAGATACAGTCTACAGTCATCTGATAGGAGAGCCTCAATTGAGAAATTGGCTAAGTCAGACTAGCCCATGGCTCTGTCGCTGGGGGACTGTCTGTTACCTGATGCAAGAGGGCACAGCCCACTGTGGGCAGCACAGGAACCCAGAGACAGGGACTTGGAGGCAGTGACCCAGAGGCAGGGACTTGGAGGAATGGTGCTTGCTGGTTTACTCAAAGTCTCAGGCTTGACCAGCTTCTCATACAGTCCAGGATCACCTTAATAAGGATAGTGATGCCCACAGTGCTGCCATATAAAATAATATATTCATAAACCATTAGGAGTGTGTGTGTATGTGTGTGTGTGTGTGTGTTTCTCTCTCTCTCTCTTACACACACACACACACACACACACACACACACGGGGTCGAG